CATCTCACGAGCACACTTTTATGGAACTCCAAAGAGAAAGATCTACATAGAGCTGCCGCCTGAGGACGAAGCCAGCAAAGATGGACAAACCTGTGGACTTCTCGTGAAGTCGATGTATGGGACACAGGATGCTCCAAATATCTGGCAGACGCACTACACAGAGACTCTGCAGAAAGCTGGTTTCCGCAGAGGCTTGTCAAATGCGTCAGTCTTCTACCAAGAAGCTTGGGACGTCAGAGTGATGGTGCATGGAGATGACTTCCTAGCGCTTGGAGACGCCCAACACTTGGAGAAGCTCAGCCAAGTCCTCAAAGATGCCTATGAGCTGAAATGTCTCGGAATTCTTGGAGACGAAGATGGAGACCGAACAGAAGCTCATTTTCTGAATCGGTTAATCCGAGTTGATAAGAAGAACGGCAAAGGATCGATTGTGATCGAAGCCGATCGGAGACATGTTGATCTTTTGATCCAGGCATTTGGTCTGGAGAAGGCAATGGTGTAGAATCACCAGATGTCAAGAAGTCGGCAGATCAGCAGATGCTGGAAAGCCGCAGTCCGCTGCTTGATAAGAGCGAGGCATCGAAGTATCGTTCAGCAACGATGCGTGCTGCGTACTTGTCCCAAGATCGACTCGATATTGGACACGCAGTCAAGAACCTTGCTCGAGGTATGGTATCACCAACAGAAGCCAAACTTGCTGACTTGAAGCGTCTCATCAGGTACTTGAAGAAATACCCTGATGTTGGGCAATGTTTCGGCTCGCAGCAGACGCCCTCAAGGCTGAGGGTGCAGGTCGATGCCGACCATGGTGGTGACGCTGTGACACGCAAAAGCACGACTGGCATGGTTGCTATGTATGGCATGCATGTGTTGAAACACAGTAGTAACATCCAATCCACTGTAGCCCTTTCTACAGGTGAAAGTGAGTACTATGCACTTGTGAAGGGAGGATCTGTGGGCTTAGGCCTCCAAAGCCTATGCGCAGACCTTGGTTTGGAATTAGGAGTCACCATCGAAGGCGATTCCAATGCAGCCAAAGGAACTGTGAATAGAGTGGGTTTGGGTAAAGCCAGACACATCCAGACTCGCTACCTATGGTTGCAAGAAAGGGTTGCCGAAGGCCACTTGAAGGTGCACCACGTTCCAGGAGTCAAGAACAAAGCCGATGTTTTGACCAAGTCGGTTCCTGGGGTGCAGCTTCGCAAAACTATGGAGGACCCGCAATATGCATTCCTCAGCAAGCGAAGCAAAGGACAGTTAGATGTTTTGGAGTAAGGTCCCTGGCCAAGCTCCACTACCACAACTGAAAGTGGCTAAGCAGCGAAGAGTTTCACATGTTTACTTTAAGCTTGCGCAGCAGTACAGTGCTTTGCAAGAGGAGGAGTGTTTGTATGTACAGCCCATATATACTCCGCTAGGGTACTGCAGACACGTGACTCTTGACGTATTTTGGCTCAAGGGAAAAAGGCGTTCCGTAACGTCGAAACCTCGTTTTCATTATGTGTTACGGTATGGTATGGTATGGTATGCATGTGTGAAATGCAATGTAATGTATTGCGACGTGTTGTAATGATATGTAATGCAATGAACTTAATGTTTTGTAACATATTGTAATTGTAGTGTATCAATGTTGTAATGTAATTTAATGCAAACTGTAAACATGCAATGTAATGTAATGACATTTTTCGACATTTCCGGACGCCAGTCGAGGATGACTGTAGCGCTGCCTCAGGTTTGTCCTGAAGTCTTTGGCTCAGCTTGGAATCATCAAATGCAAAAGATCAGACAGGCCTGATCACTCAAGTCTGTCTCAACAGCCAGATCAAGAAGGCATCATCCTGTGCCCCTCTGGTGTTGAAGTGCCCTGCCCTGCTCGCACCATGGTGAACATACAAGTTCTAGAATGAACAACTTTGGTGTGAGATCAGATCTCAGAGGAATTCAAGGCAAGGGTGGGCATCATGAGGATGTCTCCAAATGTCACAACCGGATTAAAGGATTGGTCGACCTGCTCTTCCAGCAGTTCTGTCATGGCCTTCATCGAGAGGGCTTGGCGAGAGGAGTCCACAACCAGCCTTTTCTTCTCCGCACTCCATTGGAGATAGGGCCAATGCCGTCCTCGAAGATCACCATTAAGGCTTTCCTTAGGAGTCCTGGAATCTGTGTGATAGCATTAGCGCTGTGCCCTCGGTGCTATCCTCCGCCATCTGAAGAGGTTCAAGTGCATTGCAAAGCTTGCGTCAAATTGTGTCAGGACCTCGAACTCGGCATCCTGCAGTGGAACGGAAGTCCGACAGGATGATCTCAAAAGGATGGCATTGAAGTCTCCCAGACATAAGTCTCCCAGACATAGCAGCATGCATCGCTCGAAGTGTGTGTGAGTTGCAATGGACATCTTTGACACAATTGTGAGGACACAAGGGAGCACCAAAACTGGTTTCTCAGTGCAAGCATGAATTGGACCGCTTTTGAGCCATGTCGAATTTGGCTGGGGATTTGTCTCTCAGGGTGGGTGGTCCAGCAATGGATCAAGAGCGCAATCTGCAGGGGAGGCCGGTGGTAGAGATACGGGTGTGGATCCGGCCTTTGTACCAGGTGTTTCCGTTTCTCCACGTTTGAGTGCAGGCTCTTCTAGAACTGGTCTGCCTAAAAGCTGGCCAATGCATCTTGGGCAATGTTCCGGTAGCTTTCGCTAAACAATGCAATCAAAAAACAAAGCTGGAGATAGCTCATGGGATTGTCGTACAATCCCAATGCCCGTGCCGAGTGGCCGATTAACGTCCTTCAAAAACGGATGGCCATCAAGCTCGAAAAAAGGAAGGCATTGATCGATCAACAGGGGGCAACAGGCAAAAAGGAAAGGCAAAAACAAGGGATCGCCTGCCAAAAAACTGCGGCACTTATGTAATAAATCTAGTGTAATGCAATGTAATGTAACGTATGCATGCATGTATGAATTGATAGTGTGATGTAATGCAATGTAAAGCAATGCAATGTAATGTCATAGAATGGGATGTATATAATGTAATGCAATGTAATGTAATGGTAGGTATGTATGCGTGTATGAATGAATGTTTTAATGAATGAATTAATGAATGAATGAAGGAAGGAAGGAAGGAAGGAAGGATTGAACGAATGAATGCATGGATGTATGGATGCATGCATGCATGGATGGATGGATGGATGGATGGACATGAACATGAATGTGAAAGTGAACATGAAAAGGAACATGAAAGGAAAGGAATGAACTCATGAATGCTACGTGTGTAGTGCGCAATGTGACAGTTGTTTTTCGGACGGGCGCCGTCGGGTCACCGTCAGAGCTGGTGGGCGGATGGTGTCCCGGTCATGTTTTGATGGCGTCCGGGTCATGTGACTGGTGTCCCGGTCATGTTTTGATGGTGTCCCGATCATGTTTTGATGGTGTCCCGGTCATGTGACTGGTGTCCCGATCATGTTTTGATGGTGTCCCGATCATGTTTTGATGGTGTCCCGGTCATGTGATTGTGTCCCAGTCATGTTGTGATGATGTCCCGGTCATGTTTTGATGGTGTCCCGGTCGTGTTGTGACGGTCATGTTTTGATGGTGTCCCGATCATGTGATGGTGGCGCGGTCATGTTGTGATGGTGTCCCGGTCCTGTTTTGATGGTGTCCCGGTCATGTTTTGATGCTGTCCCGGTCATGTTGTGATTGTGTCCCAGGCATGTGATGGTGTCCCGGTCATGTTGTGATGGTGTCCCGGTCATGTTTTGATGGTGTCCCGGTCGTGTTGTGACGGTGTCCAGGTCATGTTTTGATGGTGTCCCGGTCCTGTTGTGATGGTGTCCTGGTCATGTTTTGGCGGTGTGCCGGTTTTGTTTTGATGGTGTCTGGGTCATGTGACGGTGTCCCGGTCATGTTGTGATAGTGTCCCGGTCATGTTTTGATGGTGTCCCGGTCATGTTGTGATGGTGTCCCGGTCATGTTTTGATGGTGTCCCGGTCATGTTGTGATGGTGTCCCGGTCATGTTTTGATGGTGTCCCGGTCATGTGATGGTGTCCCGGTCATGTTGTGATGGTGTCCCGGTCATGTTTTGATGGTGTCCCGGTCGTGTTGTGACGGTGTCCCGGTCATGTTTTGATGGTGTCCCGATCATGTGTCCCGATCATGTTTTGATTGTGTCCCAGTCATGTTGTGACGGTGTCTCGGTCATGTT